GGGTGATCATAGCAGGTGGGTTTTCATCTACTATACACCAATGCTCTGTCTGTTCTGATTGGTTGGCCATATCAGTTGTTAATTATTTTCAATATCATCCTTAGATAAAATTATTTACCTTATGGGAGTCATTGTGATAAGGAAATTAGGTAAGCACTCATCCTTATTATATTTATTATTATTATATTTATCATTATTATTATAGCCTAAATCAAGGGTCAGCAAAATATGACCTGTAGGCCAAACCTAGGCCTTCCATCTTTATAATCTTTGTAAATAAAGTTTTACTGGGACATGGCCATACCCACTTATTTATGTATTGTCTATGGCTGTTTTCACACTACAAAGGCAGAGTTTATTAGTGGAGATGGACTGGTCCTTTCCAGAACAAGTTTGGTGACTCCTGGCCTAAATGGGGATGGAATCCTACTTTACCTTTATCAAAACTTGGTTTAAACAGCTCTGCTTTGTACCAAGATATTAACATTTACAACCAGTTCTTCATAGTCAAGAAAGGAGTTGTGCTTTGCCAAACTTATCAGGACAAGTTGTTAGGGATCTACTTGGAAGTGAAGCAACTTCCCTCCCAATTCCGAGATGAGGGTGTTGAGGATAGGGGTCCCCAGTGAGTTCTGAGATCAAATTCCCAGAAATAGAAAGTTACATATGGCTCCATGATGTTCAGGTATGCAATGTTATGTACTAGTCCATCCACTTTCTCTTTTCTTTTTTCCCTCTAGTCTCTTATCCTGGTGTCAGCCTTTTCCTTGCAATACTGGATCAAGGCAGGGGACAGAGCTGTGTTTCCAGGGAAGGCAGAGGGAGAAGACATTTTCTTTGTTAACTTGAGTGGGGCTCGGTGTCAGATTTACTCTTCAAAGCATCTTGATTCTTCAAAAAGTTATTTGAAACTTAGTTTTGTCTTTAGAACCAGTAAGTGCTTCAGGAATTTTAGTCTTTTTAGACAGAGTTAATTGATTTCATTTCATCCCCATTTCTTTAAAAAGTGGACATAGTTCCAAGACCTTGAATAAATCAGACTTGGTCACAAAGGAAGTCAGGCAGGGGTCAGAATAGAGATCAAAAACCAAAAATACTAGAGGTTTACATACTCTTTTCTGTTCTTCTTTAGTTTGAGTTGATTCTTGTGGGGACTGTGTCTCTGGGAAAGCTGAGGCTGTAACAGTTCTTGGTAATGGTCGCATTTGACTTCAGAAACACACAGCAGAATAGGAGGGAATGGAGCAATAGATGTGTTTAATTGATTAATGCTGAGTGAATACCTACTACGCACAAAGCATTGTGTTCATCTAGGTATTTTATATGGGCTCAAAGAGTTTCTGAACCTACATGCAAAACTGTATTGACTCTGTATCCATAATTCAACTTTTAAAAAATCATGACTTTAGTGTTTTGAAAAGAGAGTCTTGAAACGTTTCTTAGTTCATTCATATTTATTTGGTTTCAGGAGAAGAACAAATGTATTTTCCTCTTATTAAGGATATAATTAACTAAACACCTTTAACCTAGTTTATAAATATTCTTGTAATCTGGGTTTTCTAGGAAAGATCCGATTAGAAATCAGTTGTTTCTCACAGAAGATCAATTGTTTCATAGAAGTTGAGAGTGAGTCAGATGTATGAAAACTTCTCTCATATCGGTAGAAGTGATATGACTTTTGCCTTTGCCTAGATCCAAAGACAAACTAGGTCCAAACACTTGAAGAGCTGACTGGCTGAGCATTTGGGTCAGGGTGAGGTCTTAACACAATCTCTGAAAGCCTTTGGCTCTCTCTGTAGAGCCAGAGCATGATGACTTCTCAGTCTTGAGGGACCCTGAGTGTGTGACTCCTCCCAGGAGATGCCTCCTTGTCTCCCATTTTCCTAGTCTTTCCCTTTCCAAAATATGGTTTTCAATCCTTACCCCAACTTTAGCCTTACCGAGGAAAAGTTCACTTATCTTGTTAGAAAAAGAAAGGAAGGGCTTCCCTGGTGGCGCAGTGGTTGAGAGTCTGCCTGCCGATGCAGGGGACACGGGTTCGTGCCCCAGTCCGGGAAGATCCCACATGCCGCGGAGCGGCTGGGCCCGTGAGCCATGGCTGCTGAGCCTGCGCGTCCGGAGCCTGTGCTCCGCAACGGGAGAGGCCACAACAGTGAGAGGTCTGCGTACCACAAATAAATAAATAAATAAATAAATAAAAAAGAAAAGAAGCATAAAACAAAGGTGTGTTTTTGAAGGGGTGTATGCTAGGCTGCATTGTGCCTGTTTTCTGGTTGCGTGAAAGTTCTTTCTGTACCTTCTCCCCGCTCCTTCCATCTCCCTCCTCAGTCCACCTCAGTTGAGACTGGCTCCCGCCAGAGCATGTAACTTCTTCCTGTCAAAGCTAGCTCTGGAGAGAAGGTAAAGTCATTCGTGCTGAGGTAATAATTAGTATCAACCTTTACGAGTAATCTCATTTTATCCCAGGAAAATCTCATTAAAAGGTGAAACTACAGTATGAACTTTGAGGCTTTAGACAGTAGATGGGGAACTCACCCAAGGGCAGTAGAGCTCCCTCTGTACAGTGAAAACAACGGTCTATAGAGGCTGCAGTTTATTGCAGTTAATCTCAAATATGAGATTGTAGGTGAATACAGGATTATAATTTAATATCATTTTAAGAAGAAGGAAAAAAGCTGTCACCATCTAAACTGGTTTATTCTAGCTTTTTCAAAAGCTAGAGATTTAAAGTCAAACAGGAGAGCCAAAGAAGATAATCATCTTTTAGTGTTTCAGAAGATTTTAATCCCTTTTGGCTTTCCTCCAAGGATATCTGAACAGAACATTAAGTAGCTGAAAAGCAAAAGTTTTCAATGTTTCATAACTGCAATCAGTCTTATGCATTAATTTTGAGGAAGGACAAATTATAAAAAATTAATTATAGTAAGGCAAGCAGCTCTATGGCTCTGCGGGTTTTTCATTTTCTTCTTCTTCTCCTTCTCCTTCTCCTTCTCCTTCTTCTTCTTCTTCTATTTCTTCTTCTATTTCTTCTTCTTCTTCTATTTCTTCTCCTTCTTCTTCTCCTCCTTCTTCTCCTCCTCCCCC